GCAAGTGGCTTGGAAGCAGAGGTACAATCAGATCTTTGAGAACAATGGAGTAATTTGTGGTTCTCAAAATAGTACAAAGTTGTTCAGTATTTTAAATGGTTTAAGTACTGTGAAGAAACCCATACAGGTAATAAAAATACAACAAGTGGATTGTATTGTAGTTTCTATTTAATTATGTGGAAAATTTACAGAGAAGCAAATACGTACCTGAGTGGTTAGTGGAATATTTATTTGTAATGAATTGTCAGCAAAATCATGTTGCTTTAATTAGGAAGAGTTAAGTGTAGTATCCCACACCCATTCAAGAATACATAGTGGGGAAAAGTCCAGAATTCTCCATGCTAGCTGTCTTTTATCCATCCCTTCTCGTCTCTCTTAAATGCTACTTTGATCTCCAGAATATATTCTATTTGTGATTTAAACACCCTATTCAGGCCTCTCATGTTTTTCATGTAATTCCTGTAGAAAGTTATATACAAATATAAGCAAGGGGAAATCTTATACAATCCTTTCCCAACTTCCTGATATTTATACTACAGTTCCCAGTCAGTGTAACTATTGACCTGCTAGCTGAAGATGATAAGAGTTATCATCCAATACCTCACACTGTGAATATTAAACTGTCCATATATTTTATTTGGGGCTTGCCTGTTTTAGTGGTTGTGTGTAGGTATTTTATATGCTGTTAAATGTATATTCTCTAATCAATTTTCCTATAGAGGTTAGGATTATTTAAAGGCTGACTTTTTTTTTTTTTTTAAATCTGGATCATAATCTATTGACTTGGGTGACTGGCCTCTGCTTTTACTCTGGATGCTTTTCCCAGACTTGTTTATCTTTCTGGGAAGATAACTGTTCTCACGGTCTGTCTGTAAGCTTAATAGGACTCTCAATTAAAATGTCCTCTGGAAATATTTTCTGGTAGATTTTGAGTGAAGGTTGCTAGATGTATAAAAGAGATCCAGCAAGAGTTCTGTATCATATTGTGAGATGTGAATAAAGCGAAGTTGAAAAACAGGAAAGGGAAGAATGCAAGGAAGAATTTTCTTTCATCTATAGATCAGCAGCCAAGATCCTGTAGCAATACTGGATTCATGAAAGATAGGGGGAGACAAAGGCAAAAATGTATATTCCGCTTTAAGGTCTGCTTGAAAAGTAGCAACCAATGTGTTGTGATGCAGCTTAAAATTGTAGATTTGGAAGGCCCTTTCAAAATATTGCATTGGACTGGCCCTGCCTAAGTGTTCTCCTTTCAAAAATGTAAGGCTATCCATTTATTCCTTTTTCATCTTTCATAGAGTTTAGTTTGCTGAAATTAAAATACTGAAAAGGTGGTTCCTATCATTTGACAAGGGTGAGAGAAGAGATAGCATGTTGGATTCAAAATGTGATGCGGGTCCCCCCCCCTCATAGAACTGAATTCTACACCTCAGTTGGCAAAATATTTTGGATAATGAGATGTGTTTGAATATTAGTAGCTCAGGTTGGTAGTTGGGCTGTCGGTTTGATCTCCAAGCTTGGCGATTTGGCTGCAAATGTTTGTCTCCATTCTGGGGGGGGGGGAGGGAGGACATCTTCAGTGCACTTTGCATTGTGCTTGTCGATCAGAGCACTGGCCTTTAACATTTTTTTTTATTGAAAAGTTTTATAAAATTTACAGTATACCCTAAACCCCCCCTCTCCCTCCCCCACTTCCCAGAGCTGAGTACAGGGTTACAAATATAATAATCAAACTCTAACTAACATAAGGTGACCAACTTTTTTATAACAAAAAGGAGGACACGAATAAATTGAAGAAAAAAATATCATAAATAAAAGAAACATTGTATTTATTGCAACAATAATACAGAATACACTATAATATGATAAATGCATAATAAAAACATTTATAACAATAACATTTTATATTGTAATTATGCTTACATGCCTATTAATTATTATTTAAATGAGTACTTCTCCATTGAATGAATATTTTTTGTCAATATATCATCTTCTAACAATATATTGGAAATATCTGAACAAGAAATATCCTTCATATTGAATTTTACGGCAAGTGCTGCAGCTAGAGTATCAACATTCAATCTCGATTTCTCACTTGTCCAAAAATCTACATGGCTAGACTGTGCGGGGGTGGGCGGCGGAGGCAGGTGTTGTGAGCCAGGCGCTCCAGGATGGCCACCTAGGTGCGCAGGGTGAAGTGGTGGCAGCACAGGTCAGCACTGTGTAGACTACCAGCTGGCGCGGCCCATGGAAGGTCAACTGCCTGCCGCACCCCTGCCCTCAGCTGCCCCACCAGCACCGCTGCCTTGCCGTGGAGAGCCAGCCCCGTGGCTCGCAAAGCACCAGCTGAGCCAGCTCCAGCCCTGCAGCCTCCCCTCAGCTGCCCCCCAGCATCACCGCTCACCCTGCGCATCCCCGTAGAGCCGGCCCCGCACCTTGCAAAGGCAAAGCACCAGCCATGCCGGCTCCGGCCCTGCAGCCGCCCCCCCAGCCATCCCCCAGCACCACCGCCCACCCTGCGCATCCCTGTAGAGCTGGCCCCACGGCTTGCAAAAGCAAAGCACCAGCTGAGCCAGCTCCGGCCCTTCAGCCGCCCACCCCCAGCACCACCGCCCACCCTGCGCATCCCCGTAGAGCTGGCCCTGCAGTTTGCAAAGGCAAAGCACCAGATGCGCCACCTCTGGCCCTGCAGCCGCCCCCCAGCTACCCCCCAGCACCACCACCCACCCTGCGTATCCCCGTAGAGCCGGCCCCGCGGCTCGCAAAGCACCAGCCATGCCAGCTCCGGCCCTGCAGCCACCCTCCCAGCCACCCCCCAGCACCACCGCCTACCCTGTGCATCCCTGTGTAGAACCGAACAGGGAAGATCAAGAGAAACTTACCGCTCCAGTCTCCTCCAGCTATCTGCGGAACTAAGTAGGAGATGGTGTAGTTGGGTAGCAATGAGGGGTACAAAGTTCCTGCAACTTGCACGTGCAAAGTTTGCCGCCCAGGTGTTTTGGCACGCTCAGCAGCAATTCCTATTGGCTTTCGAAAGCCAATAGGGGGAGTAGAACAGCTCAGGCAAAAGTTGAAAAAAAACCATCAAAAAAGGTCCCAGAACGCCTTCTGAGTGTTCTATGAGGAAAAAAAAGCCCTGCAGATAAGTCTTCAAATATAGAAAAAGAGGACATTTAGGAGGACATTTTCGAGGGAGGACAGAACTCACAAAAGGAGGACTGTCCTCCCAAAAGGAGGACGGTATATGGAAAAGGAGGACATTTAGGAGGACACTTTTTGAGGGAGAACAGAACTCAAAAAAGGAGGACTGTCCTCCCAAAAGGAGGACGGTTGGTCACCTTAACTAACATTAAATTAAAAGACGCTTGCTCCTGGGGAGGAAAGCTATGGCAAATCTAGACAGCATACTAAAAAGCAGAGACATCACCCTGCCAACAAAAGTGCGTATAGTCCAGGCCATGGCTTTCCCAGTTGCATGTATGGCTGTGAAATTTGGACCATAAGAAAGGCTGAGCGCCAAAGAATTGAGGCCTTTGAACTATGGTGCTGGAGAAGACTCCTGCGAGTCCCTTGGACTGCAAGGCGTTCAAACCGGTCAGTCCTAGAAGAGATCAACCCCGACTGCTCTTTAGAAGGCCAGATCCTGAAGTTGAAACTCAAATACTTTGGCCACCTAATGAGAAGGAAGGACTCACTGGAGAAGGGCCTAATGCTGGGAAAGATTGAGGGCAATAGAAGAAGGGACGACAGAGAATGAGATGGCTGGATGGAGTCACTGAAGCAGTAGGTGTGAACTTAAATGGACTCCAGAAGATGGTAGAGGACAGGAAGACCTGGAGGAACGTTGTCCATGGGATCGCGATGGGTCAGACACGACTTCGCAATTAACAACAACAACAACAACTAACATTAACCAACTATATAAATAACCAAGTCCATAATGTGCTTTAACTCCCCTTTAACATAAGTATAAACAAATTAAAAATAAACATAATAATATAAACAAGTCAATATTATTAAACAATACAATATCCAAATTGTTAAACAATACTAATACTAAAAATAATAATAAAACTAATAAAAATTCAACTATAATAAACTATTAATAGTAATAATACTCTAAAATTTACCAGTACTCATAAACTAAATGGAACTTTTTAGTCCCCGCCTTTAACATTTTTGATGTTAGTGAGATATTCCACTTTCTGCCAGAAGATGGTGATGTTGATACAAACTAAACAATGATAGCTGGCTAAGGTTAATTTTCATTTGGAAATGATTGGATAACTAAATAAGAAGCATTCAAAGAAACACAAATCATGCCAGACCCTGTCAACCTGTTGGCCTGCCTGCTCAGTATGCTGTCTCAGACACTCCTATATGTATGAATGAAAAAGGCAGGTGAGAGTCCAGGGAGTTATTCCCAACTCTTACAAAAGTTAGGGGTTATTTGAGAATGAAGGTACTTCCTTTTGAAGCTAAAGTGGATAGCTTGTGGTGGGGAACTCAGGAGCACGGTTTACTGTAGATCTACATTTAGATTGGTTATTTGCACATCATTAAATTGTGGACAATGCACTGCCTTAACATTCAAAACCAGCACCAAATCAGGCAAAATCTCTTTGGATCTAGTGTGGATGGGTGTTGATGACCTCTGATTTTGACACTCCCCACTTTAGTAATTTTGTGTATCAGTACCTTCAATACTGAGTATTCCTGATCAAGGTTTATTATCATGGGAAGAGAACATTGGTCCAGGACTGCCTCAATTCTTCCTCTTAATTTACTATAGCTTGATGCTTAGCAGTCATGTTCTCTACACATTTTCCGTCTATGGAGAAATCTAATGATACAGCTATTTACAAGTCAAGAAAATGCACAATATGCCATCAGAATTGCACCTAGGATATGTCAGATTTGTTGGCTTTTGATGTCACCTTTCTTTACCAATTATAGGAAATTCTTGTTCTTTATTGTCCCATTATTTCCTCCACTATCAGGTATCGTTGCCAAGATTTATGCCAAGAGATTCTATTATACTCACCTGTGTCTTCCAGTAGCCATGGATTTCCTTCAGTGGACAGCTACTGTTGTTGGCTACTTTTCTGTGGTAATCTTCCATCTCAAAACTGAGGTCAAATGCTTCATCCCAGGTAATTCAGTTTCTGGTTAATTACTCTATTTTCGGTACAGTTATTAGAAGCCTCCCAAATTCTCCAACATTTATTCCTACAAGTCCAAATGTAAAGCTTGCTGTCACTTGGCTACTGATCTTTTATCTTGTTCAGTCCATCTTGTTCCCCACAGGTTTTCTGGCTGCTATTTCTATGCTTTTTAGTTTATTGGATCTTCAGTTTTCTTGCACACAATAATTTGAAAGTTTATAGTAGGTATAAAATGTTGCCAATGCTGCATAGCAGTTTCATAGACTATTTGAGTAGTATTGCCTCAGTTTTTGACTAAAATCTATGAACTGATGACTTCCTGCATCTTTTTACCTCATGAAGACAGCAATGCTGGTGGAAATCACATCAAGACATTCAATTGCCCTTTACAAGTTGACACTTTCTTCCTGGGAGTCTACCGCGCTTGAAAATTGCCTGCAGCATGATATTTACAAAAAGTAAGCTATTTCACAAGTCTGCAGAATTCAAGTCTCTTCCTCAGGTCTCAGCGATGTGCTTCCTTTCTTTCCTCATAACAGGAGGAAAGTGGGAAAAAGCTGTTCCTATAATGGTCCATCTTCCGTGCTTTGAAAGCAAGGCCAACAAGCTTGCTGCTCTCACATGATGAGAGAGGGGACAGAAGTTTCTGCTCCTGCTACGGGAGGAATGAGGAGCAGGGAACACAATCTGTCCCTTCTCTGCTGTCTTCCTCTCCCCTCAGTTCTCTCCCACAGTACAAGATCCCTCACCACCTTCTAGCATGGTGATCTCCGCCTTTAACAACTATTCATAAGAGCCACTTGATGTAAAACTAAGTGAGAATCCCCACTCCTCTCTCAAAATTTCTCTTGGCTGATGAATAGACTCTGCTTTTGCAAGGTATAGTGGAAAATGTTATTAACAGGGTTAGATATAGCAGTTAAAATTTGTAGGAGGATCAGTATATCAGGGGCTTCTTTGCTAAGATGTCTAGGCTTTACGTGCTATATTTAAAAATGTAAGACTAAGCTGGCAGTGATGATCGGGAAATATCTGAAGCTACTTGATAGTACCTGGAATTGGTTATTCTTGGCAATGTGGCTCATTGGTCTGACTCAGTTCTGGTGACACACTTGGCCAAAGTCCACATTAAAAAAAAAAATCTTAAACTCATCTTCATATTAAGTGGTTGTGATTCAGTTTTTTAAAAAGCTGTAATAGATGTCATATCCTTGGATGTATGCCCTACAATGAAGGATCTGGCAATTTCAGTAGGGACAGATAGGATCTACAATGGTTTAAACTGTGTTGCTTGTAACAGAGGCAGATTTAGGTTTAACCTATTTGGGTCAACCCAGGAACTGAATCTTCATTGTGTGAGCAAATGTCATGGTAACCCTTCCTCCTTTTTCCGTTTTGTTCTGTTTTGTGTGTTCCTACACATATTGTAAGGAATCAATTTGTAATGATGAGATCATTACAGAAGCAATTTTTGCCTGCACATTTCTAGGGCCAACAAACAAGCTGTATGACCTAAGGGAGGGGAGAAAAGGCAAAAAGCAAAAATAAAACCAGGTTTGTATTCACTGAAAGGCAAATGCATTGTAATGAAAGTGAATTCCGTAGTGCTAAAACTATTGGATAGCGAGATGGGCAGCATATAAATTAAATTAATTAATAAATACTAAAATAATCTATCTATATTGGAGATATTCTAAAACTTGTTTTCCTTTCTATAGAAGACAATTAACTATCTTTAACAGTTAAAATATGGAGGGAAAACATTAACTCTGTGGGATTAGAAGCAGTTTAGTGTGTTCATCAGCACTTTTAACCAATGGAATGAGCTAAATACGTATCTGCATCACTTTCTTTTTAGACTGCTTTAATGATCTTTAAAAAGAATCAGGACCATATTAACTTATTAAACAGAATTTATCCTGACTCCATCATCAATTACTCAGAGATCAGAGGATGCACATAAAAGGAATGATACTATTAACTGTGAGTCTAACCAGTAATCTGCTTTGAAAAAACTCCTGTGGGTTTTTTTGTGGAGAACTATTGTAGTGTAATAGAGTTACAGTAGATGTGGGAGCAGGCAATCCAGGTCCCCATTTGACCACAGATTCACTGGGTAACTTTGGGCTAGTCACATTGTCTTCACATAGCTTACCTTGCAGAATTATTGCTGCATTAGGGAGACTCCTGTATATGTCACCTTAGGGCAGGGGTCTGCAACCTTGACAACTTTAAGACTTGTGGACTTCAACAAACCCCTGCCTTAAGGGGGGGAAAATCATCTTTGAGTAAAGATCAGTTACCTTTTTCTGTTTTGTTTTTCAGTTTTCCAGTTTTCCAGTCTAGCCTATAATTCTGGTATCCCAAGAAATGTAATTGAAGAAGTAGCCAAGCCTGACAAGTTCCTAAGTACACACAAGGGACTTTTACCACTATGAAATGGTAATGAGAGCCAACTGTTTTTGAGTCAAGAGAACACTGTGCCAGCATGAAATTGGCTGCTTTCATTGCCAGTCCTATTTTGCCTCTATTGTGTCTGTTTCAAGTCCCTGTTGGACAGCATTGATCTCATTATGGGTGTGCAATGTGTGATAGGCAAAGCTCATTTTTGTGCCCATTCTTTTGCTGCCCTTTATCATCAGCTGGTGAGGAAAGCATTCACCAATCATGACTCTACAGCAGGAATGGGATAAATTCTATTCTATTCTATTCTATTCTATTCTATTCTATTCTATTCTATTCTATTCTATTCTATTCTATTCTATTCTATTCTATTCTAGCTTCCCCATTGACTTTGCTTGTCAAAATATCTCTAAAGATGATCACATGACTCCAGGACATTGCAACCATCATAAATATGAGCCAGTTGCCAAGTGTCTGAATTTTGATCACGTGACTGCAAAGTAAGTGTGAAAAACAGTCATAAGTCATTTTTTTCAGTGCTGTTGTAACTTCGAATGGTCACTAAACAAGTGTTTGTAAGTTGAGGACTATGTATAGTTGGGGCCATATGTTTATCTTTCCAGTACTGAAGAATAAATCTTTTCACTATAACACAGCACTGAGAATTTGCTTTCTTTGCCCAGATGTTGACTTCCAAAAACATGATTTACACAAGCCTTTTCTATATAAACACAAGTCCTGTACAACTAAGGTGGAAATATTTGGAAATTGCATATCAAATTGATTAATGGCCAGCAAAATGTTAGAAAGAATACTTGTAGATTTCTTTCTGTGTCATAACATTTAATAATCCCTTAGGTGTTTCCAAAGCTTAAAATGTTGCAGTCCAAACTGGAATATCAATAGATCCTTTAATCATAAATACTGCCATTGAACTATGCTAGGCAAATATTTGTTCTTTAAAATGGAAAGTTATAAAGAGAAGGTTTAATTTTATCTACTAAGTATAAATCCTAGCTTCCATCCAAATGTTCTATAGGATATTTTTTAATTAATTCTTAATTAAAAAAATAATTAAAATTAATTAATTCTGAAATCTAGATTAGTCCATAGTACAGATAGTCCTCAACTTACAATGGTTCATTTAGTGACTGTTCAAAGTCACAACGGCCCTGGAAAAAGAGACTTATGACCATTTTTCACACATACCATGTTTCCTCAAAAATAAGACCTAATCAGAAAATAAGCCCTAGCATGATTTTTCAGGATGCTCATAATATAAGCCCTACCCCCCCAAATAACCCCCAGTTGAGATGGTCAGCCAGACAGACATATTTAGTACTGTATTTTCCCCAGAATAAGACCTAACTGGAAAATAAGCCCTAATGCGTCTTTTGGAGCAAAAATTAATATAAGACCCGACTTCCGGTTTGCCAAGGCAGCCAATATAGATGTCTGGAAGGCAAGCTTTGTCTTCCATGTTCAGTTTCGCTTCGCTGGGGAACCCTGGAAAAGGTCGAAAGTTGCCCTGTAGGGGCGACCAGCAAGGAGGGGATCCCCATTGGATTGCGGGAGGGCAGTAGCTCTTCCGCTTGATCCAGAGCAGCCCTCCAAACTGGTGGATGAAAGACTGACCATAGCAATATGGCTCTTCACTAGGCTGCAGACAGCTGAAGTCACACTTACCATCAAGCAATTTTAAGGCAGCATGGACGAGACTGGGTGAGATCTACCTCTCTTAAATCCTAACTATTTTCTTTACCTGCATAAGCTGCCTTAAGTACTTTCCCCCCTGTGGAGAGGGAAGGGAGATTTTACCCCTCCCTCTAGAAACAGCAGCTGACTATCGGGGGAGTTTAAAACATTGAAAGAACAACTTGATCCTAAATGAAATTTTTTTTAAAAAGTTTGTGAACTAAAAGATCTTCTATGCTTATTGAAGATTGGAGTTTTTACTTATAAGAAAAAAGCAAAACTGAAAAGATTATAAAAACTTTGGATTCAAAAGACTGAAAAAAATTGGGTTTTGACTTACTTGTGCGAATTAAAATAGAATATACCCAAATAGATAAGACGTATACTTTGAAATATTAGACATGGTTATGAGATGAGATAAAGAAAACTTTGGTTATTTATAACTTAGAAATATAAATATTAATAATTAAATTTGAACATTGATTTGCTTATAAAGGTTAAATGTAAAGGTAATTAAGATATATATAAGCTAAAAATCAATCGATGAATGTAATAAATATTTTTTTTACCTAGCAGTAATAATAATAATTATTAGCTTAAATAAGAGAAAAAGACAGGAAGTATTAATGTTGAAATAGGAGGAATTTTGGTTACTAAATTTAAGATATATGGAAATTACCAGAAAATAAGAATATTATATTGTATTACTAATTAGTTGATGTAAGATGGTGAGAACTCAAATAGATAAGACGTGTATTCTGAACATTAGATCTTGTGATGAATTGTGATAAAGGGAATTGGGTTTATTTAAAATTTGGAAATTATAAATATCAAACATGAAATATAAATATTAATGGGAAACCAAAAATTGGGAAAAATTAATCAGGGCATTGTCTAAAAAGATTGAATGTTAAAACAACTAGGATATGGATACAGGCAGCACATGAAACCATGTCCCTTCTGGTCCACGGAAAAATCTTTCTCCACAGAACCGGTCCCTCATGCCCAAAAGGTTGGGGGCCTCTGGGCTATGTCACTTACTCAGATAATTAAACATCTGCAAACAAACCACCAAGGACTCCACATCAATAGAACATATACGTTAGTATGAAAACCAGAATCTGCAACAAACCCAACTTGCCCCCACTTTTACACTAACAGCCTAACTTTAGGCACCAACAACCACACAAACAAGATTAGTGGGCTTCTTTACTTATTCTTTCTCTAAAGGGAGATATGACATCATCTGCCAGCAATATCCCTATGGATTCTGCGAAGAACAATCCAATTTGCACAAAGAAATATAAATTACACAAGCTTAACATCAATATTCAAGGACAAAGTAAGAGCATTTAAATCTCTCAGGACATCCATTGCAGATCTCAGATGGACTATTTTGGAAAAATGAGACATAACTAATATGTTAATTATTCAGTAAGAGATTGCTGAACTCAAATACATCAAAGAATTTTAGAGATCTCAAAGGATCTCAACAAACACAATGGATTTTTAACACATTATCATTGTTAATTGATAAGACACTTGTAATTAGTCTTATGTGTAACCTACAATTGCATAACCAGATTGTGGATTGTCTTTCTTGTCTCTCCCTCTCCATCTCATCCCAATTTAAATCCTGTATCGATTTTGGCATTCCATGCATCTGGTGAACTGAGCTGTAGCTCATTGAGAGCCTTTTAATACAGTAAAAAAAAATTGTTAATCTGAAAAGGTGCTACCAAATTCCTTCTGCAATAGATCAGTAACTTCTTAAGGTAAAATGAAAGCAACACATTATTCAAATTAGACTGACATCTCAAATTAGTTACATGATACATGATACAAATACATTATCTTGTATTTCATTTTGTAACTTTTTTCTTTTTTTAATAGTTCCCAAGATATTTTGCTTTTTTTTAATGACATTTGAGGCAATGTTTTCAGTGAGCTGTATGAGCTGCAAAGGTTATTAGAAGTCTTTCTTATATGGTATTTTTCCATTTGGAATGGGGAAATTCAGCATTCCCTATTTTCAATGTTGCATTTTACTGCATTTTTTTTTAAATCAAGTGGTTTAATCTGAGAGATTTGCCTGTAAGAATCACATAATCCCTTTTGAAGTTTCAATATGTTAGATTAGTCTGTATTTGTCAGTTTTATAGACTATGTTCCATTCCCCACCAACTTTCTAGATCACAGATAGGTAAGACCAGAGCTTTTTTTCTCATAGAACGCACAGAACAGAGTTCCGGCACCTTTTTTGGATGGAACCTTGGAGGGCAGGGATTTTCAACCTTTTCACCCATTGTACCACTTTTAGGATATGGCAACATCCGAGTACCACCAGTTGCCTAGTAAGGTGTCAAAAATTTGATGACCAAAAAAAAAAAAAAAAAGGAAAAAAGTGATAAAGTACACCAGTTCTCTTACAACAGTTCTCTTAGTGACTGTTTGAAGTTACAATGGCACTGAAAAAAGTGCCCCCCAAGGCACAGCCGAGCAAGACACCTGCCTGCCCGCCCAGTGGTGCTCTTCCTCCTGTCCGAGGTGTTCATTGTTGTGAGCATTTCTGTTGAGGATTGGCATTGGGGGTGGGGTGGGGGTGTTTGGTTTTTATTCCCTCTGTCTGCTGGGTGGTTGCAGCAGGTTTTGGTCACTTCACATGACCCTGGGACAATGTGACCGTCATAAGTATGAATCAGTTGCCAAGCATCTGAATGTAAATCACAAGACACTGGAGATGCTGCAACATTCCAGCTGATTGGCACTTCTTCTGGGCTCAGCCCAAGCGCCAGGATCAGCACCAAGCTCCAGCTGGAGCCTGGTGCTGACCCTGGCACTTCCACTGAGCCCTGACAGTCCCAAAGAAGTGCTGATCCTGATGCTTCCGCTGAGCCCTGACAGCCCTGCAGCTCCAGCCATCTCTCGCTCAGGCTTGTGCGGTGCTGCCACCGGTTCAGCTCATTCCCCTCCCCTGCTACCACTTTTCTAGGATGGTCGTGTACCACCTGCCAGGTGCCGAAGTACCACAGGTGGTACCCGTACCACTGGTTGAAAAGCCCTGTTGTAGGGTAGGCAAGGTGGGTTGTATGACGTGTGTGAGTTCCGGCACCTTTTTTTTAAAGAAAAAAAGCACTGGGTAAGACCTTAGAGTCTTAGACATCTTGTTTAAAAACATAAAATTATAGAAGTGTGATGTTGGGAGACATCACAAGCTTCATCTAGATCAGGGCTTTTCAACCGGTGGTATGCATATCACGTTGGCACCTGGCAGATAGTGGTACACTTACGATGGGTTGAAAAGCACTGTAAAAAAAAAGGTGTAAAAAAAGTGTAAAAGTGTAGCGTGGGAATGAGCTGAAGCAGTGGCAATGCAGCACAGGCCTGTGGGAGAGCCGTGGTGGAACTGGAGCCGTGGTGTTGCTGGGGCTCTGCTGAGCACCCAGAGTCCATGCGGGCTCCTGCTGACTGGCGCTTCTGGAAGCTGCACACAGCCTGGGGAAAGGAGTCAGTTGCATCTACACTAAAGACAAAAGGAGGAGGGAGAGGGGATAGACATGCCCGTGGGGTGTTTTGGCTCGGGGCCGCCCTGGAGACAGTGAGGGACCGGCCCACCCCAGGCCATATGCCCCCAATCAAAGGCAAACCCCGAATCCAGCGGGCCAGAAGGCCCAGCGCCCCTCCGATTCCTTCTTGCCTCCTAGGTACAGACA